ATGGTAAGAAAAATTAATCACAGAAGTAATATAAAGACCTCCTAATCTTGATAAGAGTTAATGAGCGACTTATTTGGGATGAAATGCGCAGGGCATCCAGGCATAGCAAAGTCTGTATAGTAGGCGACTTTAACTTTAGCAAAATAGATTGGATCAACCTGACAGGTAAATCAGAATCAGAGGATTTTCTTGAAACAGTTCAGGACTGTTTCCTGTGTCACCATACTGTATAACCAAACCCACCCGGGGTAATAATATACTCGAATTAGTTCTGTCAAACAGAGAAAACCTCATAAGTAATGTCGAGGTAGGGAACAAACTTGCCAAAAACGATCACAAAGAAATAAGATTCCTATTAGAATTTAATGGCAGTCGCAGCTAAGAGAAGGGGTATGACGTTTGCGGATGGATTACATGACCTCACGAGAGGTGACCTCACACAATGTACCGACCGAGGGCGACCTCTCTTTACCTGGAGACCTAACAACGATAACCTCACAAAACATGAGTTACTTAATGCACAAAGTCAGAACATACCATACAGAAAACTCAGATCAGACATCAATGACCCTAAATGGATAAATAATTATTTAAAGAATGTTATTGGACAAAGGAAGGCTATAGGTAGGAGAATAAATCGTGGTGAAGTTTAACCTCAGAGATTATTATAAGGTATTGGCCAGTAGGGTTAAGACCGAGATAAGAAAAACAATGAGGAATAATGAACTGAAGGTAGCAAGGGAGGCGAAGTCAAACTCCAAGGGATTCTTTCAAATGTATCAAACTAAAACACAAGAAAAGATTGGACCAATACAGCCAGATACCGGCGAGCTAACTGATAACGACGGAGAAATGAGCAATAATCTTAATAAATATTTTTAAACAGTTTTCACCAACAAAAATTTAAACATGATACCCGAGGCACCGACTATATACAGAGATAGTGAAGAAAATAGATTAAGCGAGACAGTAGTAACTAGTAACGACGTTAGTAAGCAAATAGACAAGCTAAAGCCTAATAAGTCACCAGGTCCCGATGAGATATTTGTCAGGGTATTAAAAGAATGTAAGGAAGAGCTTAGTATTCCCTTAGCAAATTTGTTTAACATGTCTTTAAAAACAGGTGTAGTACCAGAATCCTGGAGGATAGCGAATGTAATACTGTACTGATTTTCAAGAAAGGAGATAGATCACTATCCTCTAACTCTATTCGAAATCACCAGGAGAAGCACAAGTTGATCAATGATTCCCAACATGGCTTCATAAGAGGGCATTCATGTCTAACTAATCTATTAACATTCTTATCACGTGTTTTCGAATCAGTGGACGAGGGGCACAATTATGATGTGGTATATCTCGACTTTAGCAAAGCCTTCGACAGAGTCCACCACGAAAGACTAATAAGAAAAGTGGAGACTCATGGCATTGGAGGAGATATGGATCAGTGCGTGGTTACAGGACAGGAAAGAGCGAGTGAGCATTATAGGCACTAAATCCAACTGGAGTAATGTCACTAGTGGAGTTCCCCAAGGCTGAGTACTTGGACCATTATTATTTATTATATACATAAACAACATAGATATCGGAGTAGGCAGCAACATAAGTTATGACACTAAAATATGGAGCGTAATTAAATCAGACGAGGACTCCGCAAAACTACAGGAAGATTTAAAAAAAAAATTTGAATGGTCTGAAAAATGGCAGATAAAATTCAATGTGGACAAATGTAAAGTACTTAGTCTAGGAGATGTAAACAGGGAAACCAGATACCAGATGAACAACGATGTTTTAGAGAATCTGACTGTGAGAAAGACTTAGGAGTAATGATAAGTAGGAATTCTAAGCCAAGTAAACAATGTGTATTTGCTCAAAACAAGGCTAATAAAGTACTGTACTTGGGTTCATACAAAGGAGTGTTGGTTACAAGACCAGGGAGGTCATCCTAAAACTACATCTTGCGCTTGTGAGACCTCACTTGGATTACGCAGTGCAATTCTGGTCACCGTATTACAGAATGGATATAGAATCCTTGGAAAGATTTCAGAGGAGAATGACAAGACTAATCCTGGGCATTAGAAACCTTGAGTATAGAGACAGGTTAAAGCATCTTAATTTGCACTCCTTCGAGAGACGTAGAGTGAGGGGCAATATGATCAAGGTGTATAAATGGAAGTCAGGGCTAAACAAAGGTGATATAACAAAGGTACTCAAACTATCCAACCAGGAGCGAACTCGTAACAATGGTTTTAAATTAGACAAATTTAGATTTAGGCGCGAAACAGGTTAACATTGGTTTGGAAATAGAGTAGTGGATGAATGGAACAAGTTACCAAATATCATCATTAACTCGAACATGCTGGATAGCTTCAAACATTGGTTGGCTGGATATATGAGCAATAGGGGTTGGGTGTAAATGGGACTGCCCAGTATGGGCCAATAGGCCCGTTGCAGTTTCCTCCATTCTTAAGTTCTTATGTAGAATAAACTTCACTACTACTGGACGTTTCTACCTTACAGGGGAGGCAACTATATGTTACAGTAATGAATAACTGTATAACTGTACAAACCTCCCCAATGCCACAAGTTCCCTTATTCCAGCAGTGCCTAACATATGTTGCTGCCACATGCATGTTAAGTTGTGCACCTCACTGGAAGGTTAACAAAGCTGGGAGGTCTGTGTGCTCTTGGACGGCTTCCTAAGTATATGTTTACCATCTTAATTAATATGTCTGGAAATACAGACTCTGGACACCACAAGTTTAGGTCTATGTTTGTGGTGAAGAGTCTGGTGAACAAACTGCTCCACAATATTTATGCTGTCACCAACCTCTTTAATTTGTTCGCTGGTAAGAATTTAACACTCGACTAAAGGTTTACTAAACTAAGACAAACAGCAAATACCACTAGACAAGATGACCTTCACACAGCAGCAACGATTAACTTTCATGGAAGAGAGTCCCGGGTCTCCCTGCTGACAATACAGTTAAAGTCCAAAAATCCGGATGCCAGAAATCCGGACCACCCTACAATCCGGACTTTTCGAAAACTTTCAAACTTTTTAAATTTAGCGGGCTTTTGTGGGTTACGTGAATGAATGGAGTTCTTTTAAAAAAATTAATTTACATAATTCTAATAATAAAAGTAATTGTAAATTATAGGTAGCTAATTTTGTTAGTTTTGTAATTAGCTTGTCCTCAAATGTAAAATTTGTGGCACTATAAATCTTTTGTGTGTATGTGTGCATGCGTGAACGCCACAGCTACACAGCGACAACAAGCGACCACGCGATCGCCACTTTAAAACAAGCAATCAAACTGTGACAACGTATGTAATTTTTAGTCATACTCTTTCCATTTACAGAGTACAAGCCCATAATAATGGCTCCTAAAGTAGATAAACTTCGATGTGTGAACAGAAAGAAGAACACATTGAAATTGAGTGACAAACTTGAAATAATTAAGAAACTAGAACGTGGTGTGAGCAATACTGATCTAATGGAAACATACGACATTGGAAAGTCTACAATTTATGATACAAAAAAGGCAAAGAATAAAATTCTAGAATTCACAGCTTCTTCTGAGCCTTACATTAAAATTGCTGAAAGAAAAAGTTTACATTGGCCCAAATTAGAAAATCTTGATAAAGTGTTGCACGAATGGATTTTGTTAAAACGATCAGAAGGTATGGCAATTTCTGGGCCGATGCTTATTGCCAAAGCAAAGTCTTTTAAGGAGCAAATAAACATTGAATCAGAGTGCGCATTTAGTGATGGATGGCTTAGGAATTTCAAGACTCGGTATGGTATTAGACAGTTTGTTTACATTTTTGTCAAGTGTTGACTTTATTTTTCTTTAAAACTGCTCGTTTTGATAAATGAAGCATGCTTTACTTGCTAATGAATAAACTATCAAAATGTACCTGTTCATCTCTTCTTTATTCCTCCTTAAATTTGAATTTTAAAAGTACTGCCTGAGAATCCGGAAAATCCGAAAATCCGGACCGACCCAATCCCCAAGCAGTCCGGATTTTTGGACTTCTACTGTAGTTTCTAAGGACCAGTTAACATGTACCAACTTCAAGGGTCATTCCAAATAAAGTATAGGAGTAATCTACACACAAGGCCTCTCATGATAGCCTGGCTAATGTACACTAATACACAACTAAAGAATCAGGAGATAAGTTAACATTCCTAAACATCCAACTCAGGAAACATGTCACCAAAGATGCTGAAATATTCCAGCTAAAGTAACCAAACACACGCTCAGGACCCTTAACTTTAACTATACTTCACTTGTTCAACTGTTCCTGTCCTAAGAGAGACAGTCAGAATGGATCTAAATAGATAAGTTAGTCCAACAATTACCCTTCAACCATTACCCCTAACTACAGTAAACCCTTACCCAGCCTGGACTCCAACCTTACAAAAATGTGTGGCCAAAAAATTAATACAACCATCCAGACAAGCAAACAGAATGACTATTAAACCCACAAGCAGGTTGAGAATATCAACCTTGGATGAAACACACGGTCCAAGTGGTCACAGAGTTATTGGTAAAACAGACAAAAACAAAAGGTTGAGTAGTTTTAAACTTATCTCTAATTTCTGGTGTTTAAGTTCCTATCAGGTGATTGAAGCATATTTACTGAAGGCAAGATAATACAGCACCATCCGAGGATTAATGCATAACACCATAACATGAAGTGTGGGTGTGTGGGCCATTAACACCACCATCCTCTCAATATTTATATTTGGGGGAAGAGTAATGATGATTGAGGCAAAGACAAAAATAAACATTATTTATCATCATTGTCTCAGCTGTTGCAGGATAACAGTAAGATAACACACCAGGATAAAAGGCAAACTTACCTGGTAGTGTGACTGGCAGGATAACACACCAAGAACAAGTACAGAGAAACATTAATACCAGCCTAACCTAACCTAACATCTGCAGCTTGAAGAGGTGAGTGTGGGACAACTAGGGTAGGGAGGAGGATCTTACCTGGAATAAGGACGTGGCTCCAGCCCAGCTTGGGGTGGGCACCTCTCAGGCCACCTGAGTCTACTGCTGTCACCCGCTGCCGTCTCTCCGTCCACTCTTTCTCCAGCTGACAAACACAGATGACTGTTATAATAACTTTCTTGTTGTAAGATTTACACAAAAATTATATACAATATGTTGGCACAGATCCTAGATTAAAGATAAATACTGTACTGTATAATGTCTCAAAATACTGTATACAGGATTATTAGTTTTTCTTACAAATATTGTAGATTTTATTTATTTTTTAATTCCTACGAGCCCTTGTTTGTTGTACTGCTGGGCGGGCGGGACAAACACACACTGCAGTGTTCACCTCATGGCCCCAATATATCCACCTGTTTACCCCTGCTGCTCCACAACAGTTACCATCATCCATACCTCCTTATAGATCCACACCTTCACCCCATCCTTACACCTCCTCCTTGTCCCTCCTACCCACAGTTGTAAACTAACAAAATAAATGTTACTTGAGTACTGTACTCCAGTAACACTTTTGGGTATCTACTTTTTAAAAAGTACACTATTAAATTTTTTTAGTACTTTTACTTAAGTATTGTTATCTAATACTTTTACTACAATACAAATGAAAACACAAAAATCATTACTCATTACATGACTCAAACAAAGAGTTTTAATGTCTGTGGCAAAGTAAAAATATATTTTTAAATTAATTAATTATTTATTAACCATAGTAAAAGAGTTGTGTGGCTGGAGGGTAAGGTGTGGGTAGACACCACGCAGTCACATACCTAGAGGTCTTGTGAGGTCAGGTGGCAGTGGCCATGACAGCAGACTTTCCCTTTGATCTTCTTGTGTCCATTAGCACCTTTACCACCCACCTCACCTGGCCTACTCTCTATCTCCCCTCCCTCATCGAATCCCCTCTCTTCTCCCCCACCTTTCCTTCAGGAGCTACCCCACTACCTGCACCTGCTGCTTGTGAGCATCTGTTTAGTCATGCTGGGCTTGTTATTTATTATTTAATTAATATAATACACCCCAGGGGGCAACAAGCCTAGTCATAAGAACATGCTGTCAGACACTAATACATTGGTACTCTTGTCTCGCAAGATACGCTATGACTCGTGATATGGAAACAAAATTGATATGATTTAAGGATAATGGGAGTTACCACCACCAAAGTGTGGGTGGAGTAAAAGAATTAAATCTAAATTATTACGAATAAGTAGATGGTGACATACAGTGGCTAGTGACTCTCCCTGTGGTAGGAGGTCCCTGACAGTGGGACAGTCAGGGCAGTAGTGTTAAAGGGTGTTAGTGTTGGGACAGTTACAGAGTTTACAGGAAGAGAAGTGCAGGTCATCCCCCCCACATGCCAGATAGGTACCTAACCTAATGCCATCCGAGGCAACATTATGTCTGCGGACCATAAGTCCACGGCGAAGATACTTGTGTGGATAAGGAAGAAAGTGATCATTGTGTTGGGTGGATATATTTTCAGCCCATTCACCATTCCTGCGATGGATTGTAGGGACAGGAGCGGCTTAACGTATTCTCTTTCGGTAGGTCACGCTGGGCTTATATTTAGGCCCAAAAGATCCTGATTGGACAGCCATAATTTTGAGAATCAGTTAATGATTAATTTTAATAGAAAACTTTTCAAATAAACATGTGTAATGCTCAGTGTTTTTTATTTTTATCTTTAGTTAACTAGATTTTTATATATTACTGTGGATTTATTTTAATATTTGAGACAAATAACAATTTTGTTTACACTTTTTACTTTCAATACTTGAGTATTTTAAGACTGAGATACTGTTACTTATACTTGTACTTGAGTCACATTTTGCCATTGTAACAATACTTATACTTAAGTAACAAAGTCCAGTACTTTCTACAACTTCCATCTACTGTGTACCTCTGTTTACCAAGTTGCCACTTTCCATTCCCTCATAATGTCCTCACCATCCCTGCTCAGCTCTCTGTCTCATACTCTTTCATATGTTCACATCTCCCAAATAGTTTAGTACAAGTGATCGCGGGCCCTTCGTGCCCTTGTGAAAGTTTGAACGCTCGTAACAGCGTACAGGTAGTTCTGCTATAACGCGATAATTGTGTTCTTGTAAAATATCGTGTTATAGAAAATCGCGTAATAGAAATAACAGGGCTTATGGAGAAAATAGGGTTAGGTGCAGATTACTCGAAATCGAAAAAATTTAGTATTCAGCCTAACAAAAAGGATAGCACAGTCTAAATAAATGTTACATTCATATCTAATAATGAAATCATACAGTAAATTTAACACTTTACCTTGAAAAAATATGAATGTAACTTGATGGGGGAGAAGGGTGATTTTGAGGTTGATAACATTGAGCTTCTCTTCAAGTGTTATATCCTTTCTTTTACGATAATCACCGGGAATTCTATCATCAGAGCGCCTTTTGGAGATATTCTTCTTTACCATATTCACAGTTAATACCACAAAATTGGAGAAATAGTAAGCAAAAATCGCGTTATAGCAAACAAGCGTTCGCGTTATACAAATATTGTTCCGAATTCATAAATCGCGTTAGAGCAAATTCGCGTTATCAAAACACGCGTTATAGCAGAACTCCCTGTACAGCGAATGAGGGTGCGCCAAGTCCGTAGACTTGCATCGTTTTCCATCGTAAATGAAATTGTTAATTAATGCCTTCCTAAAGAAACCATCGACATGGGACCAGGTTTGATCCACTCTACGAATTTTTTGCGATTTTTCCACCAAGTTTGATGAAAAACGATTGTGCCGTTTCGGCTGCCCAGAACAGATACACACACACGGCTAGTCCTATAGTATATTAGATTTCCATTTGTTATTTTCTGTATCCTGTTTACCCCACATTTTGTTTACAACCAACCACCACCACCAAACTGACCATAATACAGCAGTACATGTTAATTACCAGTAGATCAGATGATTCATATAGCCCATAATACATGTACTATAGCTTAATTCTTGAGTCACCCCCTGAAATGTACGTTTTCTCTCCTATGTTCTAACATACCCATTCTCCCTGAGAAATGTCATGTTAATGTTTGTTAAATTGAAATTACGATTGAAAGCATATGTGTAGCCATAAGATATGTACAGCTTAAATTGTATGTAATTGTAGTGAAAATTGTAATATGCATAGTACAGTATAAACTAAGTATTCGAGTCAGTAATCTTGAGAGCTCTACTGTTTTTGTTTTTTGTTAAATTATCAAGTGTCAGCTTGTAACAAGAGTTATATTTCCTTGATCATAGAATGAAGAAAATCTGATGAATGTATTGAAATTATTGGCATTTTGATATTAACCCGTTGTAGTTATTAAGAGTACCTAGCCTCTCATCCAGTGACAGCATTTGAATATGTGCGGAGTTCTCACTTAAAGCCCTAAGTGAAGTGTCCAATCTGTATATTTTGTGACCACTGACAGCTCAAACACTGATTACATTATAACCATTAGCCTTAAGAAATACTTGTTAATCCTTAGAGATGCATTAATACAAAGTGTACATGAATCAAATTAATAAACTGTAATCACTACCTTGAGACATCACCTTAGACATTTTCTGCACCAAGCTGAGAGTGCCACATTCACCTACTCCTCCCATGTGTCTAACAGGTACAGTATTTGGAATCACTGTCCATGTAGTCCCTTCTAATGTATTTTGTTAAATAAGTCTAGTTTGTGCATTGTTTGATTAAGCAAGTAACTCTACTACGTTTTTTTTTTGTTTTTTTATGGGGAATATCCCACCCGGACACAGGTCATCGACCCACAATGGGGCCAGGGGGACGAAAAAAATAAGAGCAAAAAGAAATTAAAAATAAAAGAGAAAAAGACTATATTAATCTACACCTCGAAGATGCCGGAAAACCAGCCTTGTGAAACGAGACAAATTGTATGAGTATGGAAACACAGAAGAAGGCAGAACATTCCACAGTTTGGCTGTGTGAGGAAAGAAGGATGTACTACAATGGATTATTCTAGTGTGACCGACAGCCACAGAGAAACGGTAGGCATTGTGGGCAAGACGAGTGTTACGAGCCTACGGCCTAGCCGGCGAGACACAGGATGCCAAATCCACCAAACATTGCCCGTTAAAGTACCTGTAAAAGAGAGAGTGAAGCAACATTGTGGCGAAGAGAAAGGGAAGAAAGAAATCAACTAAAGGAGGAGAATTAATAAAACGAAATGCCTGTGATTCCACCCTATCTAGCAGTTGGACAGAAGAAGAGCCACCCCAGATATGAGAGCAGTACTCCAAGTTAGGACAAATGAATCCCTTATATACTTGAAGCAACTGCTCAGGAGTGAAGTAGCTACAGCATCTGTACAGCATTCCCAGCTTTCAGGAGGCAGCTTTAGCAATGTTGTGGAGGTGTGGCTTCCATGACATATTAGTCAAGAATATTATAATACAGTATTACAGCATGCCCTGACAATTCACAGATTTTTAATTTGCGGTCCTCTATTATTCATGGATAACACCCTGGATGTACCCAAGAATGTCTAAGGGTAGTTTCAAAGTTGCCGCCATTATTGCGGCCAGGACAGGGAACCATTTGTTGTAGAGACTAATTTCTTTTACCTGTATTGTATATGTGTGTGTGTGTGTGTGTGTGTGTGTGTGTGTGTAGACAAACACACAGACAAACACAAAACACATTCAAATATATAATAATGGGAAAATCTTCTCACAAATAATCAGAAACAAGACAACAAAATGTATTAAAAAATATCAGTCTACCCTCAAGTCAACTCCATGCTTTCATATAATTTTAACAACAAAGCATGGTGTTGACTTAAGGGTAGACTCTTACATTTTCAAAATTTTTTGTCTTGTTTCTGATTATTTGTGAGAAGATTTTTCCATTGTTATTGATTTGTACAGTGTGTGTGTGTGTGTGTGTATCTACACACACACACACACACACATATATACAATACAGGTAAAAGAAATAATTGTCCTAAGGGCAAACACATAAAGGGAATACCTGGTATACATATCTTTGTACACAAATAAAATGCCCCCCCCGGTTAACAAATGGTATTCACAGATTTGGCTATTTGCGG